GGCAGCACTCTAACTTTCACCTTGGGGGAAGTCTTCCTAACTTTGTGGATGTTGGGTAAGTAAGAATATATATGTATGCACATTTTTTACAAGAAAGAACAGAAAATGTGAAAAGCAGGACTCAACCAGGACTAAAGCAAAAGTGAGCAAGATTCAATCGAAAAGAGGAAAACTTCAGACATCAGAGTTGACTAAACAATAGTGGTCTTCTTTTATTTTGGCATTTTTATCTAATTCATTTTTTTTTTTGTCCAACGAATAATTGGCCAATGAGCTTCAGGGCAGAGAAAAAAACAACCCCAGGTCTGTTTTTTGATGAGGAGCTTTGTTGTAACATTGTTGTCTGCTTTCACTGCTTTCACTTCTGCACTGCACAGCCTCAGTCCTGGATCTTTAGCCTCAGTCCTGGATCTACAGCACAACCTCAGTCCTGGATCTACAGCCTCAGTCCTGGATCTACAGCGTGTCTGTCCTTGGGAGAGAATCCCTCTCTCAATATGGGCCTCCCTGAGGTTTCTCACTATTTTCCCACTGAGTTTCTGACGAGTTCCTTGCCGATGGAGGAGAGTCTAAAGACACTGATTATCCGGGACATTTATTGGACATTTACTAATTTTCTGGGCAGTGGTCCTCCTGCTCCCGATGGACCAATGGCTCCTATGTGTTCGTCATTATTGCATTTCCTATGTTTGGACTGTTTGATTCTCTGATCTGTGTTGGTAAATCAACAACTTTGTAAAGTCCTCTAAGACAACTGCTGTTGTGATTTAGTGTGATACACAAATGAATTGCTGCATGGCGAGTTCACATGCATATTCAATCGTGCCTTATGTGAATGCAAATAACCGCTTTGTCGGGGTGGGTATGGTGACTCCATGCATGCGACAAACGTGGGAGATAAACTTGACGCCCATGCGGCAACCAATCAGAGAGCAGAACAGTGGTCATGAAGAGGAGGACAAAGACACTCAACAACAGCCAAATCCAGAGCTAGACCAGACTGAACCAGCTCTGTGAGCAGATACTACAAGAGAAGCTGCGGAAGTTAACCTTAACTCATGCAGATGCATTTTAGTGAACGTGTGCCCATGACGCAATAACGCTGTGCCAATCCAGCGGCTGTGTGAAAGCAGCTTAGGATTTAGAATGTGAAATATTATCTTGAGCTGAAAACCTCCATGTAACGAATGACGAGAACGAGTAAAACTTCCGTCTTAGTGTTGTTTTTGTTGGTTTATGCAGGGGTTACGTTCTAAAAATAACCTGCAATAAGCAAATTCCATGAAGTAGCAATATGTCCATCAGTCTGAATGCAGTCCTGGGAGAGCCCTCAGGTCCCTGTTGACACCCCCTCCTGCCTGTGGCCTATGGTAATGCACTAATGCGTCTTTAGGCACGCGCGGGACATAACACATGCACATTTATGACTGCTGTGGCGGCCAGAGCACACAGACGAGGCAGGCTGCTGATGTGGCTTCTCTCATCTCCACAGAGAGCGCTTTTGCTGGAGGGAAAAACCTCTATTCCAGCTGAATCTCTCGGCTGTAAACAAACTCTGAAAACTCACTTTCTTGATGTACTGTGGTATTAGTGAAACTGTCTGAGCTGAGACCAATCTTGGCTCCAGCATCGGCTTCTCGTGTTCCACACAGATCAGATCATGAGAATGATATATATATGGCATTTCCTGCATCTCAGTATCAAACGAGGAAAGCGTTGCACGTCTGAGCCCCTTGATGGTTTTGAGGAAAAAGCCTTTTCCTTAAACTTTCTTAGTCTCTAAACGAAACAATAGTGCGTGCAAAACAAGTGTGTAGGAGATGTGCTCAGTTTTTGTAAGACAAAACTTGACCCCTACAACACCCGCCTCCCGAATTCGCTGATTGGTCGGATAGGATACAACCGAGGTAACTGCAGACACTGGGAGAAAACCCAGACATACATGTAGGAAAATAATAATTGACCGAAGTTTATGAATGGGAAGTTATGGTGGCTGAACTAACAACTATGTATCACGCTTTACGTCATGGCCAGTTATCTCTCCACTGACTGTGGAAACAAGGTGAACGCGAGAATATTCAGTGACTCTGAGATTGCAACAAAGATATCATATGGAACAACTAAAAGCGAGGCCATTTAGTCAAGAAAGCTTACCAGCTCTGTTCTGACGCATCCAATCCCTACACGGTCCAATATTTCAGTGCATCCGACGGTGTGAAGTATGAATTGTTTGATTTTTACGAATACTCTGATGAATCAAGTTACGCAATATTTCAGCAGATTGTGTCCATTCAGTCAACCAAATCAATGCCTATACTGCAATAGTTAATTACAGTAGGCTCAACTTTTTCAGAAGCTGAAGGCCTTGCAAGTGTCATTTGATTCACAACACTGTAAAAACAGCTTATTGAGTTTTCAGTGCGGCTGGGTGTGATGTGGAGGCTTTTGTGCTGAAGGTATACAGTTCTGCTAAAAAAGTACAAACACTCTAGGAGTTCTGTGATTTTACAAATCCCAAATACAAGGAGATTCTTACACATGTTCCTACACAACGGCTGCCTTTATTACCACCAATCCAGAGGATTCTCGAGTGCTGGCCAGCTTTAAAGTCTTATTTTGTATCATAAGGAAAGGAGGACTGGCCAGGTCTTAACTGAAAATGTGTGTGTGGTGAAGCTGATGGAGAAGCTGTGCACTGTACTTTGGCTGAATGTGTTTTGACATTCATGCACAATGTAATGCAGGAGTTTGATTCTTCTATTAGTGTGCTGGAGATGACAGTGCTTCTGTTGTTTATATTCACACAGTGATGAACTGCTTGCGGAATCAGCGTATTTCAGTGACAAATTCTATGACAGCAAAGCAAAACAGACACTGAGAAACCTTTTATCCAATCAGCAGGAACATTGCAGAAGCCTGCCAGACAGATTTTTTGACAAAGCAGTGTTGTACCTTGAAGATAGATTTGACTTCAGGGATTAGTTTCTTGCACAAATTGGCTGTCAAGGACTTAACAAGGCACCCAGCCCTAGATGTCAATGAAGATGGACTGTACATTGATGTGGTCACTCTTACTGAAGTGTTCCATGCCCTCCTAGCAGACCTAACCCCAGACAGAAAATGGGCCAAGACACCCCAGAACTGTTCAAAATTGTTGCTTTTGTTTTTTCAATACCAGTGAGCAATTCCAATGCAGAACATGTGTTCAGTCACAGAATGCTTGGCGCCTGAAGGCCACTATTATAAAAAAAACAAAACGCTGTGTGCGCCATGGGTCTGCATGGATCCCAAAACTAAAAAGTGAAAGAGTCAATAAGAACCGAGAATTTAAGGAAGAAAGGACTGAAACATTTGCTTTCATTGCCAAAGAGCAAGGACTACTCATGTTTGCTTTGTAATGAGAAGATGTCGAAGAACAAAAAGAGTAATGTGGAAAGTTGGCTGCTGACCCCAGTTTGGAGAGAAACAGTGCGATGGCAGTTCTTCTGGAGTGGATTCATCTCCAAATTTCTACTGCTCAATTTTGTTGCAACACAAGCAACAATTGAGTGCAAAACACCGACAGGGACATTAGTTCAGCTCCAGCAAACTCCAGCCTGCGACAACGTGTGACATGATTGATAAGAACAGACAGTGCTGTAATGCAGGTATGTGAACTCTGAGCCAAAAAGCCACATTTATTTACTTAATTTCTACAATTGCATGAATGCAGCAAAAGGAAAGTTAAACTTAAAGCGCCATGTATCGTATAGCAGAATAGTCACGTGGTGTGTCATTCTCTTGTGCTACAGTGAAGATACACATTTTATAATCAAGAATGCATATTATGTGTTTGTAGCCTATACTTAGTCATTTTGATAGTAGGCCAAAACTGATTAAAGCCTGTGATGCCTTCAAAAAAGGTAGTAACTTTTGTGTGGCTCCAGACAGATTATGTTTTTTTTGTGTCAAATATGGCTCTATGAACCTTTTGAGTTGCCGACCCCTGGTCTAAGAATTCAGGTAAGCGTTTCCACTGTACCAGAGATGTCAGAACAATGTAAGGTGCAGTGTCAAACAAACTTAGCAAAATCAAATTTATAAAAAAAAAACAATAATCCACAGTGTGTCTACACCCAAAAACTGTTGGAAATGAGCCAAAAAATAGACGAGTTAAGCAATGTAAAGCAACTAACTGAATAAATAACTAGAAAATAGTAATGCTGAATACATTACTATTGCAAAGGAAGGTTTCTCACCCATCATCTGTAAAAACGGGAAAACCTGCTAAGAAGTACATATGATGGGTGAGAAACCTTCCTTTGCTTTGACTAATCCCTGTAGGACTGAGAGCTTACACAAACTTACATTACTATTGAAAAAGTAGTTCAATCACAAGATTAAGTCAAAATGTCACAGTAGAAGGCAATATTTGTCTTGGATTAATTGTGTGAAAGCCAAGGTGCCGTTGCTTATGAGCAAATGGGTCGATGTCCAGGATTTTTTTCAGACAAGGTGGCAATCCTTCAGAAATGTTTACAAAAGTTCAGGATGCTGGCTGTCCTTAGACCCTCCTGCAGTGGGAAGACCTCAGAGGAAGTGGTCTGTAAACAAACTTCCCAGAAATGCTTTTATCTATTGGTTTCCCTGTTTCCTTTATACTGTAGTTGTTACAGAAGATGTCTTTGTACAATAGATAATGAATGTAATGAATGAATGGATGGTGTTGGTTGGGGCTTTTGTCTGTGTGTGAATGGAAAATTAACTGGTTTCTGAACATTGTAAAGCGCTTTGGGTGACCTTGGTCTGTAAATATAAACATAACTTACGTACTTACTTACATAGATCAGTTTGCTCCATGCTTATATATTTTGCACACACACAAACAAATACAAATTATAAATAAACCCCTTAATGCGGCCGCCACCCTCACCCAGACTCAATCTCCGGTGACCCTCCGATAAATGGAGTTGAGAGCCCTGGATCACTTTGTTGCCTCAAAACAAGGAAAAAGATCTTACCTTTCCTAAAGTCGGTGCTGCTCGAGCGGATGTCGGCCTGTAACAGAGAGAAGTCCATGTGACACAGATGTACCACTGCTCTTTGGGCCCACACACAGGAAAAATGGAAATAAAAGGTTTTGTCCAAGATGTTTCTCTCTTTTCATCTTTGAAATACACTGTTTTTTTTCTTATTGTCAGCAAAACAAGACAAACTTTCATTCTTCAGTTATTAGTATATATCATTATGTAGTCATTATTTATCATTTTTACATCAATATGAATACCAACATGGTTCAAAAATATACATACACACATACAGATACAGATACAGACACACACATACACATACACACACACAGATACACACAATCATGCAGAATTATAGAAATGACAATAAACTCAATATAGCTCCATCATGGCTAATCTTTTAGAGAACATTGGGGGGGAAAAGCAAAACATCTGCAGAACTATGTAGCTCCCAAGTATCTTTTGTTTACAGACCACAAGGCCTTGTATTAACCTATTAGAGAATCATGTTTTGGTAGAATATAAATAAGACATCCTTTTTATTTACTTCTATTTTGGGGAAATTTCAATGTCAGGGTTGCACACATCTCAGCGGGAAAAAAAGAGAAGGAAATAGGACAAAATCAAAAAGGATCTATTATTTAAGATAATCAATAACATTAAAATAAAATAAAATGAAAATATAGATAAAATTAAAACTTTGGAGCTATACAAGCACTTGGTTCGGAGGTATTTACAGATTAGTTTGCAGCAGCAGAGAATATGACCAGAATAAACAATAGTAAAAGCAGCAGGTAAAGTGACTAGTGAATGAGAGATATCAGATGAATGGATATGGGCTTGTTCACACTGAAGGGTTCAAAAGTGTGACAGAAGACCAAAAATTAAAAGTCTGAAGATGTATTATGTTTTTCATGTATCCAAATACCTCCTCTGTCCATCAGTAGTTGCTAGAAGAGAACTGTGTTGTACATTTGTCAAGTTTCCTCTAGCGATTATTTTTTGTGACGATTTGATGAAATGAGCTGCGGAAGTTTGTTACATATTTTTCAGATGTTCATATTTGGTTAAGAAAATCGTTTTTTTTTACACAGAGTTAAACAAAGTGATCACTTTCATATAGTAAACCAATTAAATGTGAAACCAGACCATCCAGTTTTTTTTCTCAAGTTCAATCTTTAGAAAGAATTTGACGGAAACCTTCCCGTCCGTTACACATTTTTCAAGGGTCATTTAAATTTGTATTGATTACTTTTTTATTATTCCTTTTGTGAAAGTGATTTCCTGATGTTGTGTTGATGTTAATCTGTGGGAGTTCATCTTTGTCACTTTTAAGGTCCAGATACTATGAACACACTCATATACAGTATAATAATGCAGTAATAATAATACGTATAAAGTGACTAGTGACTAGTGACTACTAAGTGACTAGTAAGGGTCTAGCAAATTATTATCAGAACAGGTGGGTGGCACGTGAACAGACTCAGCTGTTCTCGTTGTACAGTCTGACAGCAGCAGGGAGGAAGAACCTGCGAAACCTCTTTCCCACAGCAAGGATTAATAAGTCTGTCACGGAGACTGCAGATCTAAAACTATAACCATGGAACAAATACTCATTTTTAATTGTGTATGCGTATTTGTGCAGCATTTTTCTCACGTGGGATGTTTTCATGTATGTTTCCATCTTTTCGTGAAGCACTTTGGGTTTGCCTTGTGTAGGAAGTGTTAACAAAAACCGCTGAAACACTAACGCCAAAGCCAGTTCACCACCAGCCAGCGCTGACCAGATCCAATTATTGTCTTTCTTGTTGTGAGCGCTGTTGCATGCTCTGGAGGCACTTGAGTAGATAATTGTGGTTGGAGTTGGGATCAGCACCGAGCAGCTGAGGTCTGAGGACTGAGCTGGCGTTTGGGTAATGAGGTGTGGAGCGCAGAGGCAGGAGGCAGAGAAAACACTTTAGTTTCTCACAAACAAACACAAAACCATCAGACAGGACACACGGAAGGAGGGCCGAGAAGGAGACACTCCTGCCCCACACTTTTGACCTGTCTGCCCTGTGTACCCCCTCGTCCCGTACACTTAAGGGGGAAAACACATCTTTTCGGTTTGGTCAGGGTCAAATAAAAAAGAAAGAAAGCTGCAGCAAAAGGCGTGCATACAGAGAAAAGTACAGCTGCAGAGGACACAACTGAGGGGCAGGAGCAGGACTGAGGGCGATGGGACGACTAGAGAGAGACCAGAGAGAGAAGAGACAGAGACCAGAGCCAGATAAGAGAAACCAGTGAGAGAGACCAGAGAGAGACCACAGGCAAAAACTAGAGACCAGAGAGAGACCGGAGAACGACCAGAAAGAGACCAGAGAGAACAAAGAAAAATACCAGAGAGAGACCAGAGACAGAGACCAGAGAGAACTGAACCTAGTCCTCTCTCGCATGTGTACAAGTCTCTCCATGGCCTCTCCATCAGACTCTGAGGAGCAGGGACTGGCCCTGGCTGGCGCCCAGTTCGAGGACTAAACACAGGGAGGCAACGTTTCAAAAAATGTGAGACAGGCTTCTCTGTAATTCAAAGCTTTGTGTGATTGTTTTTTTATCCTGTTTGTTTTAGCACTTTGAGTTACCTTGTACTGCGCTATACAGATAACCTTGCCTTGCCTAGGAGGGACCGGCCTATGTGTTGCCTTGAACACCACTGCCTGTAATTACCATTCATTAAGACGTGTTTGTAACAATGATGTGGCTGTGTATCCCAGATTGAACCGAAAGATCCATTTCCCGACAAAATAGCAGACTCTGTGAATCCGATCACTGTAATGAAACAGCAGCAACTGACCATTAAGTGATTTTCCCAACGTCGACTTTTCGATCAGTCTGAGCCAACGACAACACATTCTCTTTTCACAAAAATACTCCCAGAACCAACTCCCAACCCTCTTTAACAGTCCTGGAGTGCGTGTGGCCTGGAGGCTCCGTCTGTCCCAGCTGCTAAATGCCAACTGTGAGCTAACCATGAGAAGTGTTTCTACGATTAGAGCTGTATCAAAAACCTCGTCTATAAATGTCACGTTGAGCTGAGAAAAACTGGGGAATAATACAATTAAACAAACAAAGGCTAACTAGATTTATTCACTTTCATTTGTGGTTTTTGATTTTGATGGAGCAAAACTTTGGATTTGAGAAATGCTTGTTTAGTTCAGAATCAGAATAATTTGTATTGCTATGTAAGTAACAGGAAGTCAGACTAGGTAAAGAATAGAATAAAGTATAATAAAAATCAGCATACACTTCTAAGGTATATAGTTACATCAAAAAGAAGATTTATTTAATGGCAAGTTTATTTTGCTTGAATGTAGATTGTCATGTAAAATTATTTGACTAGTTTCAAGATAATAATACTTATTAGAGCAGTGAGATTTTGAGCTTTTTTTAAGTATTTTTTTCTTATTTCCAGACAACTTTTCTCGTAGTTTAGATAAAATAATTATGTAGGGCAGGGGTGCTCACACTTTTTCAGCATGCGAGCTACTTATAAAAGGATCAAGTCAAAATGATCTACCTACTACAAAAATGCAAATCATATATTTCAAAAAATATTCTTTATACCTACAATGTAGGTTTATGTACATGCAAAACTGCATGAGCCAATATAGCACAACACAACACAATTACCTATGTACATTTTTTGTCATTACCCGAGTTTACTCTGATGACTTGCACTGAATTGAATCGGCCAGGGATGCATAGTCCGGAAAATTGGTGGTAACTCGCTGACAAGTTTGTCGTGGTTTAGCTTTCCTGCACTGAGCGCGGTTGTTTGCGCATGTGCAGTCACCTAAGTGTCAGTAAAACATTACTGAGTAAAACACAGATGTCATTTGACTGTAGTGCCATGTCCATGTGCCATGCCTGTTTTTTTTTAAATCCAAATATTTCCCCTCCTCCGTTTATAAAATAATTTGCATCCACACATCTGCGTTATCAATCACATTCGTAACATTCCAAACATGTGCGTCTCTTACGTCCTGTCCTGCGGTGGGGAAAAACACAGAAGTGGGCGGAGTTCTGATGCAGACGCCGGTAACGGCACTTTTACAGTCATAGAAGACACTCAGAGTAAAGACGTATGTTTACAAGCACTGACCCCGTCCTCAGCCCTGGTTTAGTCCTTGTTTGGTTGTTTTCGAGTCCCCGCGATCACTTTGCTGCTCTCTGATGTGGAGCGAGGATGTTCGCTGCTGCGAGCATCTCACAGCGAACAGTTTTTAAGGTAGTATGATCCATGCTTCAGTGATCAGAGGAATTTAGGGGGGTACTGTGGCGTGCGAGAACGCAAAACTCTGGTTATCTCTGTCTACACACAAATGCATTAACGGAGTTCTCAAAAATCTCCACTTTGCCCGGAGTTTTTTGTATATATTCGTTTAGAATGTGTATTTTTTTATTTATTTAATGCGATCTACCAATACTACCTTTACGATCGACTGGTAGATCGCGATCGACGTATTGAGCACCCCTGATGTAGGGCTAAGAAAACATTTCTCCTTTAATTGTTTTTTTTTTTTTTTTATTGTGTGTTTTTTGTTGTTGCTAGAATTAAGTCATTCAGGGCTATTATTATTTTATTATTTTCAGAAATCTTGTCAAGTCACATTTTGTTGTTCTATTGGCAGATATGTTTCTTATTTTAAGCAGTATTTTACTCATTTTCATATATTTTGTCTTCTTTTTCCAAGATATTTTTTTCAGTGTACAACAGCTTTAGGGAATTATTATTATTTAAAGCAAACATGAAGCGAGCACAGTGAGGGGAGGGAGGGGATGTGAGGGTGTAGAGAGAAGAGAGAGGAGAGGAGAGACATTAGAGAGGGGTGAGAGGTGACTTTGGAGAGAGGCAAGAGAAGGGAAGAGAGTTTGGAAAGGGGTGAGAGAAGAGAGAGGGGTGAGAAGAGAGGAGAGAGTTTGAAGAGAGGAGAGAGGGGGTGAGGGTGTAAAAGAAGAGAGGAGAGAAAGAGTTTACAGAGAGAGAGGAGAGACATTAGAGAGGGGTGAGAGGTGACTTTGGAGAGAGGCAAGAGAAGGGAAGAGAGTTTGGAAAGGGGTGAGAGAAGAGAGAGTCTGGAAAGGAATGGAATATCAGGAAGGGGTGAGAGGAGATAGTTTCAAGAGGGGTGAGAGGACAGGAGGGAGAGATTGAAGAGGGGAGGAGGAGATACCAGAGAAACAGACCTTGTACTGCTGGGCTGCTTGGTGCTGGCCGGACAGTGTGCTGTGTCTGTGCTGTTCTGCCCCGTGTGGAGGGATGAGGTCACTGCAGGGTTGGGGCTGCCGGCATGGCTCTGAGCACTGGAGGGCGGGCTCTCTGTGGCCCCCGCTGGGCTCTCACTCACAGGGGCACTGCTGTTGAGGCTGAGGCTATGGTCGGCCCACTTGGTCTGGTCCACGATGGTCCGTGCGTGAGGCAGCTTCCCCACGTCCCGCACACGCACCAGCAGCTGCAGCCCGGTCTTCAGGATGTGCACCGCCTCGTCGTGGGAGATGGTCACGAAGCTCTGCCCATTCACCTCCAGGATCTGGTCTCCCACCTGCAAAGGCCAGAGGTCAGCGCCCAGGGCTGAAACAAGACTGATGCATCATGTTTAAGTTAAAGATACTGTATAATTTCTACAGATGCTCCAAATGAAAATAAACATGTTAACCAATGACCAATGTGACTTTTTTAAGATTATCTACCTCCACAATGTTTTTGAACTGTTGTCACAGACTTAGAATTGGACTATGGAATGTACATGAGCGCTGGACTGCTCTCCGGGTCAATGCGCGATCTTGAAATACATACAATTATTGTATTGTATGTATTTCAAGATCGTGCATAAGGTGCCTCTAATATTGTTGCTTCCACTGTGCGCTAGGGGTGGGAACCTCAGGGTTCCTCACGATACAATACGATACGCGATACAAAGCTCACGATAACGATTATTTCCTGATAACGATTATATCACAATATGACGATTATCGATATATTGGTCAGAAATATACCATATGCCAATTTATGGCATAAATAAAAGAAAAATGTTAAGTGAAAAAATACACTTTATTTCATGATAAATGGAATGGAGATGCACAATGTAGTCATACATTAAGCATTGATACTAATGTAAATTCATTTTTTTTCAAATGAAAAAAGTTTTTGTTTTTAGTTTTTTTCCAAATCGATACTTGGCAAATGCATATCGATAATCGATCGCGGGAGAAAGTATTACAATATATTGTTATATCGTCTTTATATTGTTATATATTGTTATATCGTCACACTCCTACTGTGCACTGACAAGTTTGAAGAACAACCCTAACAACAATCTTTTTGAAAATAATTATGCAAACATCTATATCTCAATCTACATGCACCAAAAGGCAAAGTTAAAACAACAAGGGGCACATATGAAGCTTAAGGGAAAATTCAGATAGGGAAAACCTCATGCTGCAGTTCTCACGCCGCAGCCTCAGTTCTGGTTCTACTTCCTGTCAAACTGTGGGACGTTCCTTGCAAATGAAGGGGGGTCTAAGAACAGTGATGGTGCGGGACATTTCTTGACAGTGGTCGTTTGATGCTCTGATCTGTCGTTGGTATACTTAAACTTAGTATATCCTCAACACATGAACAAATGTCACAGTGAAGTGTTAGAGAAGCAAAAACAACTTCAGGTCAATTGCAGCAGCTTGGAAGGTCAGCGTCAGCAGCAGGACACTTACTGTGACTGTGCAAAACAAATCCCACAGATTATGAAAGTTTCTTCTTGACATTTTGGTTGCTAATTACAAACTGGTACATCATTATCCATCTCCAAACCGTTTAGAAGAAAACGTTTACTGTGACTGGCTTCACGGCTTATCCTCTCAAAGCAGCAGTCGAAATACACAGAGCCAATCCCCAACTGTAACTGTAATCCTGAACTCCCCATTGTTTTATTCATAATGAGGACATCCCTGCTCTAAAGCCAAGCCCAGGAGCAGAGTCCTGTCTCTTTAACGTGGAAGAATAGCAATTGTATAAAAGGCAGCTTTATTGGGCTTGTGTGTCTGAGTGTGTGTGTGTGTGTGTGTGTGTGTGTGTTTGTCTTGTACCATCTGAGGTAGTATCATGTTTTCTAATACTGTATGTACTGTACAATTTCATTTTAATTTCTAATTTTAATTCTTCTGCATATTATTGCGTGTGGATGTGTGTGTTGTCTGAGTGTGTGAGTGTGTGTTTATCATACCATCTAAGGAAGTGTCACATTTTCTATTACTGTAAGTACTGTCAATTTACGTGTTTTTGATTTCTTCCGCATGGTATTATTGTAGAATTATATTGTGTGGCATGTGTGTGCTGTCTGAGGGAGTCTCTCTGTATGTGTGTGTGTGTGTGTGTGTGTGTGTGTGTGTGTGTGTGTGTGTGTGTGTGTGTGTGTGTGTGTGCGTGTTGGACTCAAATTAGGATCTGCTTCATCCAACCCCTTTTCGAACCATGTACTCATTATTATTTGTCTGTTTTATTGATATATGTGATAATATGTGTGCAGCTTCTAAATAAATAATCTAAAAAAATGAAAACAAAAAAAAGGTTCTTCACATAAATCTATGCTTTTGGGTCACTCACATGAAGCTTAAGTGCAAATTCAGACTGGTAGACTACTGTACATGCTGCAGGTTTCATCCCATCCAAGGCTAGCCTCTCCATCCACAGCCAACCACACATGACAGCGAAGCGGGCAGTTTAAAAGCAGCCATTTCCTACTAACTTCTTGAAGCTCTTGCTACCCACCACCTCCCCAGCTCCTTCTCTGGCTCCCGCTCTAGCTCCTTCTCTGGCTCCTGCTCAGGCTCCTACTCTGGCTCCTACTCTGGCTCCTGCTCTGGCTCCTGCTCTGGCTCCTGCGCTGGCTCTTTCTCTGGCTCCTGCTCTAGCTCCTGCTCTAGCTCCTGCTCTAGCTCCTGCTCTAGCTCCTGCTCTAGCTCCTGCTCTAGGTCTTTCTCTGGCTCCTGCTCTAGCTCCTGCTCCGCCTGCGCCCCATTCACACCATGCCCCTGAGATCATCTTCAGCAGCCAATGATCTCCCCTCTGAAAGTGTCGCTGTTGGGGTCATTGCGCCAATCCATAAACCTTTCTAAAATGCATTTTGAGTCTGTTCTAGTCTCTCCAGATTGAAATGCCACGATGATAGTGTTCTCTAAAGGTAAGGTGTTGGAATGTATGAATAACAAACAGTGAGCAGATGGACAAAGAGGTGAGATCCTTGAAGTAGCAGCTCTACATTTTAAGGCTGTAAAACTCCTCACACACACATTACACGTTTCTAACCACCTGAACCCCCGACTGCTGAAGTGCGAGAGGCGAGATTTCATACCTATTGGTTGTTTGTCTGTGCGCTGCTGCAGCTGTCAAAATAGTGTCAGCCGTACAGACACTAGAAAATACAGCTGCAGAGAACACCTCGCTCCAAGGCAGGAGCAGGACTGAGGGTTATGGGAAAACCAGAGAGAAAGACTAGAGAGAGAAACCAGAGAGAGACCAGAAAGAGAGACCAGAAAGGGACTAGACAGAGACCAAAGAGGGACCAGAGAGAGATCAGAAAGAGACCAGAGAGAGGGACCAGAGAGAGAGACCAGACAGAGACCAGAAAGGGACCAGACAGAGACTAGAGCGAGAGACCAGAGAGAGACCCCAGAGAGAGACCAGAAAGAGACCAGAAAGGGACCAGACAAAGACCAGAGAAAGAGAGATCAGAGAGAGCCAAAAATGTTTCTTGTGCCTTTAATTAAAGGTAACTGAAATACGATATTAGCGATTATATGCTTTGTATCTATTTATGATGTTGTTGAACACACGCAGTGCAGGTTAGAAAAGAGTGTGAGGTGTTTACAGCCTTAAAACACAGAGCTGCTACTTAACTTTCATTTAGTGGGGGTTATTTTAAGAACCCATCACCCCCGCGCTAAACCAGGGACCACTGTAACATGTTTTTATCTTGTCATTTTAGGGCTAAGAAGTGATTAAACAGGGCTTTAATTAATCATCACCTTTTTACAGGATTTGTATGTAATCTCATGCCTTGTGCCGATAACATCCAGATCCTACACACCGACAGAACCACGGGTGATGGCTCTGATTTTGCGCAGGTTGCCGATTATCCTGCTGAAAGTAAATGTAAATGCTTCTTAAAAAACTTTTCTGGGGCTGATGGAGTTGCTAGTGCTGCTGCAGGTGTTCGGTGTGTGGTGGTTGCATCTGAGCCTGCTGTCACTAAACGCTCCAAAGCTCTTCCCTTCTTAAACTCTTCGTAAACTTTATGTAAGTGAGTCATCTTTATTTTTCTAGTGGATTTCACAGACCAAGGTATTTTATTGTAGAAATTATTTTTTTGAAGTGTCTTTCCTAAAGATACAATGACCGTTTGGCACTGTTAGGTCTCCCATCACAGTACTAACCAGGCCCTGCCCTGTTAAGCTTCAGAGGTCTTATTGGATCTGGCTTTCACATGTATGGTCACATATTTATCACCACCACACCATCTCTCATGGTGTGTAAAAACCATGACAAAAGTGGCACACGTAATATATCCAAATAAGAGCCATAGTCTGTGTGTGATGGACAGAGACGGTAAATATTAACGGACACAGCGATGCAGTGAGCTGAGTCGCTTTCGGAGCGGAGTCATCGTTTGCACATGCGTTAGATGGCACGAGCCTGACACATGGCTGAAAAAACATGTTCATTCAAAAGTCCACAGTGGATAAACGAGGCTGGTCCAAAAAAAATAACTCTCGGCACTGACACGCATCTGGAACCAAGAGCTGACTTTTGGACCAGGCAGCATAAGAATGCATTGGATGATTCTGTTTCCTGGTACATGACCACCGGAAAAAACCAGATTGCAAAAGCATGTCAGCGAACGTGCTCATGGACCCTTTTGAGTCAGGACCCGCCCCCACTGGTCATGGAGAGCAGTGCAGTAACCTGTTCTAAAACTCCCAAAGGAGAATTCTGCTGAATACATGTCCTGTGATAATAAGAGTTCCAGAGAAACAGAGAATGGAGCTTCTCTTTCCTCCTCACACAGCGCTTACATAAGTCTGAGTTGCGGCCCATGTAGTAAACAGCACAAACCCAAGGTCAGAGACGCTCGCTCAGACAGACACCTGCACACTGGAAACAGCATTTCAGCCGTGATGATGTAACCGCCGCAAATATGTCTTTGTGGATCAGTGGTTAAGCAAAAGTAGCACAGCAGACGGCATAGTGGTTAGTTCGTACATTTATTTCGTACATAAGCTAGTAATAAAGGTTCTTTGTGTCTGAAAGTGAAAGTCCAGCAATGAACTGTCTAGAGCCCCATTTCCACCAGCCTATACTCTACTCGGCTCTATACTTTCTCTGGTATTGTATCCTAGCAACCCCCCCACAACAAATCAGTATTCAGGGACAAAACTTGATTTTCAGAAGCACGTTGACCAATCGCTGTCAGTTAGAACACCTTGGTACCGCCTCAGCTGGGATAGAACCAGGGTCAAAAGGGACTGAAGAAGGTCCTGCTAGGCCCTC